AATAAAAAAAAATCGTAATAAAATAGGCCAACGTTTTAATTTTATGGAGAGCTATCCAGAGGCTAGAAAATTATTTGAATGACTGACTATATTGTTTTCTTTATCCTTTAAATGGCATTTTTATGTGTTGTTGATGATCATCAAGTTGAGCACGACTTATATCGACCCTGTAAACAAAAGACCTGAAGCCTTTCTATAACTAACATAATTTTTCAAAGTTGATAGTTTCCCGAAGCATCTTGTTTAAGAAGTTGATGCCACTCCTGTTTCCAACTTGTATGTGTATGGGTAATACCCTGTCACTCACAACATTGTATTTTAGGACAGAAATTGAAATTGACTTTTTGACTATGAATGCCATACCATTCATCTGTTTTTCATTCCCCATATAGTGGATCATGTATAGTGTACCATATCCAAGTCAAAGTGGGCAAAACTAGCCCATCTCATCTCACTAATGCCTACTATGTTGATCTTCATGCATTCCATTTAATTTTTTACAGTTTCTAGTTTTCTAACATTCAAGCTACATACATACATCCCATGGTCCATTTATTAAGTGATATTTGTTATTATTTTTCCTCATTTCAACTGACTTCCAATCTGGACTCTACTGCTACACTACTATAGCTGTCCACATGCTTCTACTGTTCACAGGGTTTTCAGAGTTCTGTTATTTAAGAAGTGGATGGCCAATCCTGCTTCCTAGTCTGTTTTAATCTAAAGTGCATCTGATTCAGGCCATGGTCTTTCTGATCATGTTTCTTTTAGTGAATATAAATTTTCATTCATTACAAAGTGAAGACTTTAAAAAGCCTGAAAAGGGAAAGCAGGCTGCTTCTCGTTCTGGCAATCAGTAGATCAGAACTCAGGACGAGCTCTTCTAAGCTCCATCATTTGTACCCAAGGGTGCTCTTATCCTTCTTTAAGGGAGCAAGTCTCCAAGAGTCTCACCTTCAGGCTATTGTAGGCCAGATCTGCATACTGGTCCAAATCATTGTCATTCTTTGGTGGTTCCACCTGGGCCTATTTCTGTATAGTACTATAAATTTAAGTTCTTTTTAAAAATTTCTTGTGAAAGTGTTGAATGTTGTATGCTAATTGATAGCATAGAATAATGTCATCTTTTTCATGGATGCATTGAGTACATCTCAAAGGTTTTTAAAGTATTCTCAATGAAGAATGTTAAAGCTGTGGCTTTGGATTTAATAACAAAGAAAATGAATATCAGTGTAACTAGCAATTGATCATTGGGTAACATGAAACTAAGCCAAGGATAAATCACTCTCGATTCTCTATTGGGTGGCTAGGTCAAGGCGCTTGATTTAAGCTGTGCTGGTGTGATCTTCCTGAGAAGAAAGGTTTCATCCTGTTTGGTTTTAAGATGATAAGCTTCTGTGTCATGGAAATACAGTCAAACTCTTCTAATAGTCACACATGGGAGGAAAATGCTCTCCAATGTGTAAATACCATTCAGTTTCTTATTTCCTTCTGAAATCACTAATGTAGGCATTAATGACATTGTACACAACTTTAGTTACTTTGTTGTTAAGTGCTTTTGAGTCTCTTGAGACTCATAGCAGTGTACAAAAGCTCTAAACCCTGCTGTATCTAGAGCCACTTTGATTGTCTCTGACATACCTACCCCCATCACCCCAGTCACCCATCTCATCCAGGGTCTTCCTCTCTTCTGCTGTCCCTCCACCCTTTCAAGCATAATGTGCCCAAAATATGTGAGATGGATCTTCAGAATCCTCTCCTCCAAGGAGTAGCTTGGTTTTACACTTTCCAGGACAGACTTATTTGTTTTCTGAACAGTCCATGGGTATGTTCATTACTCTTCTCTAACACCACAGTACAAAGGCATCAGTTCTTCTTCTATCATCCTTATTCATTGACCTGCTCTCTGATGCATAACAAGTAATTAAGAAGAACATGTCCTGGATAAGGTGCTCATTAGTCTGTAGACTCACATCGTTACTTTCAGTACTCTGGAGAAGTCCTTGACAGCAGAATTCCCCAATCTTTTGCATTCTTGGCTGCTGGTACCAAGGTTGTTGATTGTGAACCCAAGCAGACAGAAGCTGTTAGCAGCCTCAAACTCTTCATTGTCTGTCATGATGTTGCCAGTTGGCCAAGTGGTGAGAATCTTTCTTTTCTTGATGTTGAGGTTTAATCTATATTGAAGACTGCAGTCTTTGACCTTCTGCAGCAGGTGCTTCTGGTCCTCCTCAGTGTAGGTAAGCAATATTGTGTCATCTGTATAACATAGATTGTTCATGAGTCTTCTGCTGATCTTGATGCTACATTCACTTTAGCAAAAAAAAAAATAATCATGTAGTCTTACTAGCATTATAGTGAGATTTTAATTGTGTACACATTTATTTCTTCTTCTTTGCCAAAAAAGAATAATTTTATCACTGATATTTTTTAAAATTCTTACCCTAGCCTAGATGAAATAAATTTTAATAGTTTGATTTTTATACTTCTAAATATCTGCCCATCATAGGAAGTACCTTCTTTTTTGTGTCTGCATTATATATACAAGAATGAGCTATACTTTGTTATCAAATTTGTTGTAGATCTACTGATTTGCATATATGTAAATGTTTCTGTTGTATAGATTTCTATAAGTGAAAATGGCTGAATCAAAGAATAAACTTTTGATGTATGTGGTTTAGTTATCTTTAAAGTAATTTTTTACATTTTGAACAAAATTTAAGACTGATTTTAAGTAATATTTTAACATGACATGTTATAGATGCTTATTGGTTTTTGTTTTGTAGTGCTGACAGTTTATTAAATTTGTACTCTTATAGTTCTGTTGTGACGCTTTCTTCTACATTCATATTGGTTACTTTCTTAAAAGCCTGTAGGAAAATGTCTCCCTTGCTCCCAGTGCTGTATGAACCTGACATTTCCTTGTATCTTTACCAACATTAGATAGTAGGAATCTTTTTTTCAGTTTGACTGTCTGAGAGTATTTCATTGCTTTGAGTTATATCTTTATATTAAAAATAGGGTTATGGGTTTTAAAAAGATTTATTAGCCCTCTTTGTCTTATGATTTGCCTTTTGAATTTTTACTTGGTTTTCTGATGAAAACGTTTACTTTTTTCTTCTTAGCACTTTGTATGTTAAATAGTCTTTCGTTTGATATGTTATAGAAAAATGTCTCCTAGCTTATAGTTTTTAGGTTTTTTCATATAAGATTTTTCAATTTTAAAGAATAATTTTACAGATTTGTTTTTTCATACCTTCTGGATTTTGTTATTGTAGTTTAGGAAGGCATTGACCATCATAGCTAGTTTTTCTTGTATATTCTCTTAGTACTACTTTAGGTTAAAAAAAATGAAATCTCTCACCAATTTGTAGTTATTTATGTGTAATATGTAGAGTTTGTAGTAATCAGAGCTTTCCCCTATATGAATGTTCAGTTTTTCCAGCATTATTTATTGAATATGTTTTATTCAATAAATTTATTGAAAAACTTGATTTATTGAAAACTTTTTTTATGATGTTCTTAACTCCCATATATTTGTTCATTTGTTTTGTATTCTGCTTTCTTAATTTGTTTATTGCTATATTGGCATCATACTGTTTTGATATCTAGTAGGAAAAATCCTATTAAGTCATTTTTTAAAACCTCTTGATTAGTATTAAGCATTTACTTACTTTCTAGAGGGACTTTATGATGACAAGCATTATTTTAATGTTTAGATGGTATAGCATACCTTTGGTTTTAAAAAATGATTGATTAACTTAGAAATCTGCTTGTTTTTTCTTTTACATTTCAGAGTCCTATGTGTGGAAATGCAAATGAGTCAGTTCAATCTAGAAGAGTTGTAATTTCTCATAATATGGATAAAGCTCTGAAAGAAGGTAAGGATTAAGTGAGAGTACATAATTATTTATTTGATCAATTTCTGACTGCAAAAGTTGGTAGAAATCTTCTATTTCCACCTCTTTGTCTCTAGTTGTTGGTGCATATATTTGAATGATAGTGGTATTCACTGGACTTCTTGTATGAGTATGAATATTATCCTGTCACTCACACATTGTATTTCAGGATGAATCTAGAAATGACTTTCTTAATTATGAAACCAACCCCATTTTTTCTCACCTTTTCATCCCTGACATAGTAAATCATATGATCATCTGATTCAAAATGTCCCATGCCAAGCCATCTCATTTTGCCAATACCTAGTATGTCAATATTTATGCGTTCCATTTCTTTCTTAACAATGTCCAGTTTTCCCACATTCATGCTTCTCACATTCCACGTTCCAGTCACTAGCGTTTGCTTACAGCTGTTCCTCCTTCTCTATATTTCCATTTCTAAGATCTCAGTTGCAGTCAGAAATTGATCAAACATGCAGTCAAGATGTATTGCTAATAATGGGTGACTGGAACACAAAAGTTGGGAACAGAGATAGTAGTTGGAAAACACAGGCTCAGTGAGAGAAATGAGGCTGGAGAAAGAATGATAGAGTTCTGCACAGTCAATGATTTATTCATTGCAAATACCTTTTATAAGAAACATAAACGCAGGCTATACACATGGATTTCACCTGATGGTATGCATAGGAATCAAATAGATTACATTTGTGGAAAGACTTGGTGGAGAAGCTCAGATCGGCAGTGAAAACCAGGCCGAGTGCTGATTGTGGGACAGACCAACAACTACTCATATGCAGGTTCAAGCTGAAGATGAGGAAAATTAAATCAAGTCCATGGGAACCAAAATTTGACCTTAAGTCTACCCCATTCAGATTTCAAAACTATCTCAGGAACAGAATTGAAGCCTTGAGCACCAGTGAGCTTAGACCAAATGAGCTCTGGGAGGATATCAAGAAAATCATCCATGAAGAATGCACAAGATCATTACAAAGGCTGAAAAAGAAGAAAAGACCAAGATGGATGTCAGATGAGACTCTGAGTATTGCATTAGAACACCGAGAAGCCAAAGCTAAAGGAAGAAACCAAGACACCAAAGAGCTGAACAGAAAATGTCAAAAGGCAGCTCGGGACGACAAAGCAAGATACTATAATGAAATGTGCAGAGAGCTGGAGTCAGAAAATCAAAGGTGCCAAACTCGCTCAGCATTTCTTAGGCTGAGGAGCTGAAAAACAAATTCAAGCCATGGGTGGCAATACTTTAAGGATACTTTGGGTAGAATATAAAATGATCGAGGCGATATCAAGAGAAGATGGAACGAGTACACAGAGTCACTGTATCAGAAGCAATTGGCTGACACTGAATTTCATGAAATATCATATGAGCAAGAGCCTATGGTGATGAAGGAGGAAGTTCAGATTGCTCTGAAGGAATTGGCAAAATACAAGGCTCCAGGAGATGATGGCACACCAATTGACATGTTTAAACACACAGACACTGCCCTGGATGTGCTAAGTTGTGCCGTGAAATCTGGAGGACAGCCAGCTGGCGAACTGATGGAAAAGATCGATATTTGTTCCCATTCCAAAGAAAGGTGACCCAGCAGAATGTGGAAATTATCGAACAATATCATGAATATCACATTGAAGCAAGATTTTGCTGAAAATATTTCAACAGAGAACTGCCAGATGTGCAGGCTGGATTTAGAAGAGGTCATGGTACTAGGGATATTACAGCTAATGTTAGATGGATCTTGGCAGAAAGCAAAGAATACCAGAAGAATGTCTGTCTGTGCTTCATTGACTATGCAAAGGCTTTTGACTGTGTGGATCACAACAAGGTGTGGCTGACTCTGAGAAGAATGGGAATCCCAGAACATTTGATTGTGCTAATGCGAAACCTACGCTTGGACCAAGAGGCAGACGTCAGAACAGAGCAAGGAGACACTATATGGTTCAAAATGAAGAAGGGGGTCTGTCAGGGATGTATTCCGTCTCCATACCTTTTCAATCTGTATGCAGAACAGATCATCCGAGATGTTGGGCTGTACGCGGAGGAATCTGGCATCAGGATTGGTGCTAGAATCATCAACAGCCTGTGTTATGCAGATGACACAACCCTGCTTGTTGAAACTAAAGAGACCCTGAAGTGCTTGCTGCAGAAGGTCAAGGACTGCAGCCTTCAATATGGATTGAAGCTCAACATCAAGAAAACCAAGATTCTCACCACTGGGCTAATTGGCAGAATCAGTGTGGATGGTGAAGAGATTGAGATAGTTAACAGTTTTAGTTTACTTAGTTCCACAATCAACACTATTGGTAACAGCAGCTAGGAAATCAGGAGACGAATTGCATTGGGAAAGGGAGCTGTGAGAGACCTCTCAAGAGTACTGAAGAGCAACGATGTCAGGCTAGAGACTAAGGTGTGCCTGATCCGAGCTATAGTCTTCGCAGTTACATGCGGTGCATCGGAGAGTTAGACAGTGAATAGGGATGATAGAAAGAGAATTGATGCCTTTGAGCTGTGTTGCTGGAAAAGAGAGTTGAATATACCATGGACTGCTAGGGTTTGTCCTGGAGAAGGTGAAGCCAGAATGCTCCTTGGAGTCAAGGATTCTGAAGCTTCATCTGACATACTTTGGGCATGTTGCAAGGAGGGACTGGTCCTTAGAGAGCGACATCATGTTTGGCAGAGTAGAGGGGCGGTGCAGATGAGGAAGACCTTCGATGAAAAGAATCTATTCTGTCAGTGGAGTGGTGGCAATGAGTGTGTTTGAGACGGCGAGGTTGGCACAGGATAGAACGGCATTTAGGGCTCTTGTCCATAGAGTCACAAGTGACTCGATAGCACATAACAACAAAACAATATCATTATTATGGGCTTGAGCGTGTTAGAAATTGTGAGAGTAGCACAAGATAGGAGAAGGTTCAGCTCTCTTGTTCATAGGGTTGTTGTGAATCATAATACAACTAAGAGGGCACCTAACAACAGCAACAATAACATAATGAAACAATTATGTTCTGAAAACAGAGTACTAATCTTTAGCAAATTATCTCTTAATCTTGTCTGTGTGATACATTAAGAGTTTTTTTCTTCATTTCTTTGTATTTGATAGCTAACTAAATCTATCCTCATTTTGGCTGAATGGCAGAGAATTAGATATTTGTTGAATAAACATTTGATATTTCCTGGTCACATGAACCTGGGCAATCATGTTAAACTACTCTCACCATACAAAGTAAGCATGAAATAAGAGTCTGCTCTCTGTTCCCAAAGAACCCGCTGCTGTAGAGTAAATTATTAACTAAGATCCTTTTCTTTTGAATATAATCTAAAGATGAGGAAAGGTGATTGGGATAAATTTGTATACTGTCACTCATAAACAGTCTCGTCAACCAAAGAGCTCTGGTCTGTAGCATGTTGTGTTACTATCCAGAAGGCCACATGTCTCAGAGAGCTGTTCAGATGTACCAGGGTTCCTCCTCTCATTAAAGTTACAGGCTTCAAAACTGAATACATAGATGTTCACATGAGTTGAACTTGACTCCATGGCATTGAGTAGGTTTATTTGATTTGAGTCAGTTATAGGAATTATGCATAGTCTTTCTCCCCCTCGTTCCTAATTGTGACATTTCACAGTTAAATCTGGGGTCTAATTTTCACCAGGCTACCATGAATTATCTCAGTAATGTGGACCATGGAATTGAATTCCAAATGTAACCCCTGAATGCTTATTTACTTAGCAGTGCCCTGAATATGAAATTGGAAGTTCTTGAATTTAACAAAAATTATTTATAAAATGTTATCTTTTTCAGAGCTTCGGGGATACTAGTACCTTGTGTTATAAAACAGTGTTCTGAATGTGAAGAAATACTATTATTTGTATTAATTTTTATGATGTTCTTTATAGATATCACATATTTCATGTACATTTAAAGTGAATAATGTTCCTTTTAGTTTTGATTACCTTTCAGTATTTTTTCTTAACTTCAGTGGTAAATGTGCAGTATCACACATTTCATGTACATTTCAGGTGAACACATTCCTGTAGTTTTGATTGACTCAATATTTTTCTGAACATTAGTTGTAAATGTGTATGTTATGACACAGATCAACTTATGCAGACAAACCATAACTTGAAAACAGAATTTTTACCATCTTTGGAACAGTTTCTAAATAAATAAAATCTGTTGTGGTGAAACTTTTACCAAGCTTCCTTTGTTGGCAGTTCTTGAGGTTGCCCAAGTCTTTGAGGACTACATGCCAACACAGACAAAGTAGGAACCCAAAGATGGTGACTTCTCTTACCGATCTAGGTTCAATCAATTGGATTCATGACTCTTCAACCAGGTTTTGTAATATGTTGTTTGGGTTCCCCCCCCCCCCAAATGAATAAATAGCTCAATCAATGATAAAGACTAATAACCTCAAAACTTCACAGAAGATGACTTTTCTTCTGGATAGAGATAGTTATTCTCATTTGTGTCTTAAAACTTAGCAAACCATAAAGCCCTTCAGAATGATTGTTTTCCTGTTCCTGGGTGAACTGTTTCTGTGTTCTAACATAACTAGACCATGGGCATTGATGACTCATAGTGCTCTACCTCATGGCTGGTCTGACTGTACCTCTGAATTGCTCTTAGGAAAAGACAGGGGGGAAAACGTATTCCCTTGATACCTCTCCTTTCTTACTATTTACTTAGCTCATGTTGTTTTTTATTTCTAGGTAAAAGTTTCCAGATTCACTAACATCATATAATCTAGATTAACATGATAGCCACATAAGTGGTCTTCTGACTTGGAGGGTGGATTTGTTTGTTTTTTCATTGAGCTGTTGTACTCTACAACAGCTCTACAAGGGTCTCTACAAGTTGCAGGCGACTTCATGGCACGTAACAGCAATGGTCAACTGATGTTTGACAAGGAGATGAAACCATTACATGGAGAAGACAGCCTCTTTGACTAATGATGCTGACCAAACTGG